GTTTGCAATAAAAAATTAGAAATAAGGAATTAGAAATTAGAGATGCATGGTAATAGGTCTCAAGTAGGGGTGATTGCAGTCAGGTGATAACCCGCTGCATAAGGATGTGAATGTGGTTGTCATTCCCTCCACACATACAGCAAAAAATGGAACTCATATTCCTGAGGTGCATTTTGGAGTTTTAATGACCCTTTTATGCTTCAGCAGTGACACCAAGGCTCAGGTGTTGTCTGAAATAGATTGTTGGCCTAAGAGCATGAAAAGAGCATCCATTTAGTCCAGCATCCTGTTTTTGCAGTGACCAGCCAGACATCATCATCAACAACATCATTTTATTATTTGTACTCCGCCCATCTGGCTGGGTTTGCCCAGCTTCTCTGGGGGGGCTTCCAGCAGATATTAGAATAAAGCATCAGACATGAAAAACTTCCCTATACAGTCGTACCTTGGCTCCTGAACAAATTGGCTCCTGAACGATCAAAACCCGGTTTTCAAACGTTCTTTTGGAAGCTGAACATCCAACAGGGCTTCTGCGGCTTCTGATTGGCTGCAGGAGCTTCCTGCAGCCAATCAGAAGCCGCGCTTTGGTTTCCGAATGTTTAGGAAGTTGAACGGACTTCCAGAATGGATTACATTCAACTTCCAAGGTACAACTGTACAGGGTTGCCTTCAGATGTCTTCAGAAAGAAGTATAATTATCTGTGTCCTTGACTCCCTTGCTGGGAGGGCATTCCATAGGGTGGGTGCCACTACCGAGAAGGCCCTCTGCCTGGTTCCCTGTAACCTCACTGTGGGAATGTTCAGGGAGGCAGGAGAGGATATATTGTTTAATTATATCCTTCCCAACTTGTGTCAACAAGTTCTATAATTTAGCAGAGTTACATTCCCCTTTTTAAACTTGTACAGCAGATAATGTCTTTGCCAGGCTTGTTTAAGCCTCTAAAATAAGTTTCTTGGTAATTCCCCTTTATTCCCTCATAAAAAGATTAAACACGACATAGCCTTGTGTAAAAGTATAAAAATAGTTTACTCACATTCTGTTCACAAATGGATCCCAGAAGGCAGACTTAGGTTACAAAATATATACACCTGGAATCTATTCTATAAGGAGATAGTTCCTTTGTCCTCTCTTGGCTGGAAGCCAAGACAGCATCTCAGGCTAAGATGTTGCTTCTTCGAGGAATGGAGTCAGAGAGAGAGGCGTCTGCCTCCCCTGAGCTATTTTGTTACCTCCCCAGGTGAGGTCAAGCCCACCTCAGGTCACATGCAGAGGACGTCTATCCCAGCCCAGGAGGAAACAGGAAGTTCCGACTGGCTGGTCCAGACATCCCATTTTTATGTCCACTCTAGGAATGTGGTATTTGACTGCTCTGTGTTTCACATCCCACACTCACTTCTTGCAGTGAGGGAATAGCCAGAAGGCTCTCAGAGCTGGACCTCAGTGTCTGGCTGGACAGTGGGGGCAGAGATGCTCCTTCAGGGAAACCCAAAATCAGGATGCGAGCCCAAGAGAGCTCTTGTTGTTTCCAGCAACTGGTATTCAGAAATATGCTGCCTCTGGCCATGAAGGCATAGCCTCCATCATGGCTAGCAACCACTGATGGTCCTACCTTCTGCGAACTCATTGGAGGTCCGTGTGTTCTAGCATTACAGCACAGGGAGAAAATTCAGAGACTATTCAGTTTCTCCATTCTGTGCGTGATTTTTAAAGATTTGTTGTGTCACCCATGCCTCTCCTTTCCTCCAAACTAACAAGTCCCAAATGCTGTCACCTTTTTTCATAGTGGAGTCGTGTTATCTTTTGTGGCCTTTGTGGGATGGGGATGAGGAGGAGAGTATCTGCTCTCGCAATCCCCTGGCGCTTCTCTTCTGCATGTGAGCCTTATCCTCTGCCTTCCGCCCCCCTCCCTTTTCAACCCCCAGGCAGCCAAAGGGAAAAGCTTCAAAACTGGCAATGTCAGCGTGGGTTGAAAGGATGGATCACAGCCCGCGCCTCTCCCAGTGGGGGAAAGGAGACTGCATTTTTAGTCCATTTACATAGGAGAGAGGAGAAAGAGAGAGGGAGAGAGATGACAGGATTCCTTTTGGGAACTCGCCTGCCGAGGTGTTTCATGGCTTTGACTCATGCAGGGATGACGGGGACTCACCTGGCTCTCGGCTCTCCTCTCTGCAGCTGTGGAATCTGACTTCACAATTTCCACTCCCCAGTGACTCACTTTGCTTCCAGTTTGAAAACTGCAAGGCTGACAGCAAGGAAGACCGGGCTGCGACTTGCTGATGCTCAAAGGACCCACAAGAAGATAACTCCCCATGCTATTTCTGTTATATCACACACACACCTTTTTAATATAAATCAATTCCAATGAAAAAAACATCAATTAAAACCTAGGAGAAATGGTTGCAGGGTTTGGGAAGGGGGAGTGCATTTAAAGATGTTCCAAACTTGGCTTCAAAGATGCTTGCAGGAGCAGGATGCGGCTCAGAGAGAGGGAATGCATGAGCTCTCTTATCTAGGCATGCCTTGTTGACTAGTTGGGGCAGGAGGCCAACAGAGGTGCAGACATCCTCTTGAACCCTATGCAGTGCAGATGTCCTTCCATTCACCTGCATCTTGCTCAAGGCAGGAATAGGTTGGGGATGTAACTTGCAAAAGAGAAAGGAAGACTCTTAAGGTAAACCCTTAGAGTGGTGTTCTGAAGGCAGCCCTGTACCGGGAAGTTTTTAATGTCTGGTGTTTTATTGTGTTTTTTATATTATGTTGGAAGCTGCCCAGGGTGACTGGGGAAACCAAGCCAGATGTGCATGGTATAAATAATAAAAGTATTATTATTATTATAATTATTAATATTATTACAGTGGTACCTCAGGTTACATACGCTTCAGGTTACATACGCTTCAGGTTATAGACTCCGCTAAGCCAGAAATAGTACCTTGGATTAAGAACTTTGCTTCAGGATGAGAACAGAAATCGTGCTCTGGCGTTGCGGTGGCAGCAAGAGGCCCCATTAGCTAAAGTGGTGCTTCAGGTTAAGAACAGACCTCTGGAACAAATTAAATACTTAACCCGAGGTACCACTGTATTACTATTAAGCTACCGCACCGCACCAGTGCATAAAAACTCTGTTTGTGCAACAGGACCTGCCCCCTTCTTCTTTCTGCTACCAGGACACCCTGAACCCACTGGCGGAGGAATGGGGGGGGCGCACCACCCCTGGCACCATGGGGGGGTACCATTGCAGCTGCCTCCCCAGACACGCACCGCACACCCCCCCACCACGCTGGGCGCCATGCCCCCGCGGGCAGCACACCATGCCCCCGGGACACACGCCATGCCCCGCAGGATGCGTGCCAGCCACGCCCCACCTGCTCTCCGCCCCCCCCCCGGTGCCAGAGCATGCAGCTTCACCACTGCCTGAACCCTCCCCAAATCTTTTCCAGAGGGCTGGGGAAACTCCTTGTACAGTTTTGGGGGGCTCTCTGCGGGGAGGAGAGAGAGAGAGAGAGAGAGAGAGAGAGAGAGAGAGAGAGACTGTCCTGTTGCAGGAGGAGAAATCCTTCTGCTGATTGAATGAGAGACCGAGTGCTACTCCCTAACTTTTCCAGTGAAAAGAGAACATCCCCGAAATGTAAATCAGTACACTATAAAGCTGAAACTTCAATCTTCATTTTTAAGAGCTCGCTCTTGAGTGTGTGTGTGTGTGTGTGTGTGTGTGTGTGTGTGTGTTAGAAGTGCATTCGGACCACCACCGCCACATCTGAAATGTCACACCTGTCTTCACCTTTGTGCAAGCAGTCCATTATGCATGTTTGCACTTTTGTCAAAATGTCAATGCCGGATGTCAACTTCAGAACTCCAAATTCAATTTTGAGACAAAACTCTTAAAGAGGCTTTTCTTTTAAGAGGAAAAAAAAGCATTTTAAAATGAGTGGTTCAGAAGATCATGTTCCAGCACAATACGCGACTGATAGGTTTTGTGCTGAATTGTTGGGTTTTTCGGTGCCAAAATTTCAAGAGGAGTTCTTTTTGAGCTGGAAGAGACCCAAGGAGTCATCTAGACATAAGGAGATGCCTTAGTCAGATCATTGGGTCCATCTAGCTGCATAACCTGTGATCCTTTAAGTAGAGATGTCAAAGCTTGATCATTGGACATCCTGCATGCAGTGGATGTCCCATGCCCCATACATACAGGTATTCTAACATGGACTTATCCTAAGTTGCAGAGGAAGGTAGACGGCTGTCTTATACTGAGGCATTGACCCATCTAGGTCAGCATTGTCTGACTGGCCATGGCTCTCTGAGACAAATTCAAACAGAGGTCTCTCCCATTCTTACATGGAAACACCTGGGACCTTCTGCATGAAAATGATGCTTTGTCTTTGAGCTACACTATTCAGCCTTGGTCAGACCACACCTGGAGTCCTGTGTCCAGTTCTGGGCACCACAATTTAGGATGGATGTTGACAACCTGGAACATGTGCAGAGAAGGGCAACTGAGATGATCAATGGTCTAGAAACCAAGTCCTATGAGGAACAGTTGAAGGAGCTGGGTATGTTTAGCCTGGAGAAGAGTAGATTGAGAGGAGATTTGATAGCCATCTTTAAATCTCTCAAGGGCTGTCACATGGAAGATGGAGCAATAATGTTTTCTCTGGAGGGTAGGACTCGAACCACTGGCTTCAAGTTACAAGAAAGGAGATTCCAACTAAACATGAGGAAAAACTTTTTGGCAATAAGAGCTGTTGGACAGTGGAACAGTCTTCCTCGGGAGGTGGTGGACTCTCTTAACTTGGAGGTTTTTAAGCAGAGGTTGGATAGTTATTTCTCATGGATTCTTTTGCTGGGATTCTTGCATTGCAGGGGGTTGGACTAGATAGCCCTTGGGTCCCTTCCAACTCTATGATTCTATGAAAATACATTCAAAAAGTTCCAGGGAATGAAAACCCTTCTCAGTCAGGTGACAAGAAAGAGGGAGGGAAGGATCTCTAGAGGGAACAAGTTATCCACTGTAACTCAGTGGTAGAACATCTGGTTTGCATGCAGAAGGTCTCTGGTTCAATCTCCAGGTATGACTGGAAATTTTTGCTACCTGAAACCCTGGCGAGCCATTGTCAGTCATTTCTGAGATAGGTAGATCAATGGGTCTCCCTCAGAATCAGGCAGCTTTCCATGTTCCTCCATCCTAAAGACTGCTTTGTCCATGGAATGCAGTATCATAAGAGAAGAAGAAGAAGAAGACCCCAACAGTGTATGTGTCTTGAGAGTGGAGATGCACCAGGGTGTACTTCTAGGAATGAGTACTTAATTTATCCAAGGGTCCATGGCATTCAGAGCCTTGGAACGCTGAAGCAGGAGGCCTGCAAACCAGCTTATTTTAACAATTCCTGACAGAGGAACATTAATTTAATGCAGAGAAGGGAGCTGGCGAGCCGGAGCGTTAAGAAAGAAACATTGTAATCTATTACGGGGACTAGGTTGCCGTTGATCAATATGGCAAAGTCAATAATAGCTTTTGATTCTGGAATATTAGGCTGACTGTCAGATTTGTGTTTATTAGAGGTTTTTACAAATGAGCCGAGCCGTTGACCTGAACGGAGAGGGAATGCGGATGGCTCAGGCGAGTGTGCACGGCTTGGCATTTTAAGAGATAAGCAGCTGCTTCATATATTTACCTAAGGACGGTTATTTATTTATTTATTTATTTATTTAAAAACACATCAGATGTATTTATTTATTTATTTGGTGGCTTCAACCTTGAAAAACACAGAGAATATTCCCTCCCCCCCCCACACACACTTTAAAGCAATTCTCGTGGTTTTGTAAGGAGTACAGTCATACCTCGGGTTGAAGTAGCTTCAAGTTAAGTACTGTATTTTCGGGTTGCGGAAGTAATGGAGTGCATTACTTTCGGGTTTTGCCACTCGCGCACGTGCAGATGCTCAAAATGACGTCACGCACATGCGCGGAAGCGGCAAAACACGACTCGCGCACGCTCAAATGCGCAGTCGCACGTTACATTTACTTCAGGATGCGAACAGGGCTCCGGAACGGATCCCGTTCATATCCAGAGGTACCACTGTAACAACATTATTGATGATGATGATGATGATGATGATTAATGTAAGAAGTGTGAGGATACCCAGAGCTTACAGGGTTAACAGCTCAGAGGGAAATGATGTCCTGTCACTGGGTGTGTGTTCGCATCTTTGTTATGTGAACGTTTTTTTACTTTCTGTTTTGACTGTGGCAGGAGAAGCACTATTCCTTCGCTATCTCCTGGTTGTTGTTTTGCTGCTGTACAACAAAGCTTCGTAGAATAGAAGGAGCTGTTGTATGAGAGTTTTACTGCATGGCTGAGATTCCTTCCACACAGGCACACCGCTGCGCTAGATACTCTGCTGTAGCCAGGAGAAGCAGGTTGGCACAGTGGAAGCGGACTGGACGCCACAACAGTCCCGCTGTTTGCAGCCTTGACGGACTCTCAACGGAACCAGAAGAGCCTTTCAGCCTGATCAGGCTAGCATCTAGTCCAGCACTCTCTTCTCAAAGTGGCCAACCAGCTGCCCATGGGAAGACCGCAAGCAGGACTAGAGTGGAACACTACTCTCCCCTCCTAAGGTTTCCAGAAAGTGGCAATGAGAAGTATGCCCCGCGGAGGACCTTAAAGTCCATAAATAACACCCTGGAGGTCCCATGCCCTAAGGAAATCAGATTAGCCTCAACCAGAGGCAGGGCCTTTTTAACACTGGCCCCGGCCTGGTGGAACGCTCTGTCTCATGAGACCAGGGCCCTGTAGGATCTGATTTCTTTCCTCAGGGCCTGCAAGACAGTTTTTCCACCCAGTCTTTGGCTTGGAATCAACTTGATCCCCTCCCTCTCTTTCCTTTTTCCTTTCTCCTTCTGTGATGGAACTCCTATTTGGGGACTTCCCTGGCTTTTTTCTGGCCCACGTAGGACCAGTCTGGATAGTTGGCCTGGGTGAAGATTTGACGTTTCCATCCCCCAAAAGTTTTTGATTTGAGTTTCTACTGAAAGGAGGCTGCATTTTAATGTTGTACTTAATCTTGTTTTTAAGTTGTATTTTAATCAATTGTTTTTACCTGGTGTTAGCCGCCCTGAGCACGGTCTTGGCTGGGGAGGGTGGGGTATAAATAAAAATTATTATTATTATTATTATTATTATTATTATTATTATTACTGCCTCCAATAGTGGAAGAAGAACATACACATCTGGGTTAGTACCGTTGAAAGCCTCATCTTCCACCACCTGTAGTTACAGGGGGCACAGATTGAAGAGGGAGAAGGAAGAAAGGTGTCCATCACCCACCTAGATTTAGGGGGATTGGGAGACATCTTCCCCTCTCACTCCCGCACCCCACCCCCCAGGAAAACTATGTCCTCAGAGGGGTCTCCAGTCGGACCGTGGAGTCAAGAGTAATTGTCTCTGGAGCCGGAAATGTGCATGCAGGCACTGTACCAATAACAATCTTCTCGCAATCCTAAGGATGGCGCCAACAAATATGGCTGCCACTTTTCACTGGTGACATGTGTCGCCTGCGGTTGTTGCTCTCGTTTCGTCATTTCTAATGCCCAAACAAAGTGGCTTAAAAGGTCAAGAACACAAACAGCAACGACAGAGGAGACCCACTGAAAGTAATGAACCTGAGTTACCTGTGCCCATTCACTTCTACCCTAAGTAGGGCTAGCCTTGGGTACGGCTATTTCATTTATTTATTAGAATAGTCTTATGCCACAAATTCATTAAAAAACACAAAAACACAAAGCAGTTAGCAACAATCACAAGTACTCAATAAAACCGTGTAAGAAGAAAAACTCAGATCACCAGCTAACTACTTCAGAAAGGTTGATCTAAACAGTCTGAATAAGTCTGTCAGTAAATAAAAGTTTTCAGCAGATGTTTAGAAGTTAATATACAGTTGATGCCTGCTAAATCTCTGGGCTGGGCCAATGAGGTGAAAGGTTTGGTTTTATGTTGATGACAGATGAGCCTCACCGGCTCAGGGGACATTTTAAAAAGTCAGGGATGGGGAAGCAGCAGCCCTCCCAATGTTGTTGCACGTGGAGTTATATATGGTGGGCCATAGGCTCCCTATCCCTGGATGGCATACTGGGTGAGGAACTGATTTGCATCTTCAAAGGAGGACCCAATTCCCCTTCATTAAACATGGAAGTAGAGCACTGATGATGAGTGACTCCATCTCTGAATTGACATGCCTTTGAAAGGTACATTTTCCCAGGACATGTTAGGTGTGTTTGTGTGTGTGTGTGAGAGAGAAAGAGACATGGAGGGGTTATGATGTGAATCTAGCATGCTATTCTATTCCTTCTAGGGAAGAAGGAGCATAGTTCTTTGAAGGATCTGTCTCTCTCTTAGCAAGACCACAAAATGCTACGATTTGGGCAGGAACAACATACAGAGAGAGGCTTAAGCAAGGGGTCATTGCGAACTTTTTTTTGTTTGTGTTTCATTCATGAGCCCCAACCTGACTCTTTGTGCTCAATTCCTGACACCCTGCAGATAGTTAAATGGGACCATTATTGGTCACCAGAGCCCCACAGGTCAAGAAGAGAATGGAGCTGTTAAAAATAGGAATGTGAGTTCAAAGCATGGGGTCAAGAGAGATTAATTGAAAAATCTTCTGCCGGCCCCGACATCATCTGTGGAGTCTGCAGCATCTAGACATCTCCAGCTGTTGATAGGTTTGTGGTGAATGCAAATGAGGCCCTCCCCATTGTGGTGGATTAATATGGGATCCAGGTGGAATTTTCTTCTGTCCTCCCCTCTGGATGTCAATTAGTGCTAAACCCCAGCTCTAGACCCAAACAAACAAGCAAACAAACAAAATCCCCTGGCGCTGACCCTGTCGTCCCCCACGCTGAGATGTTGTTTGTTTGTCTGCTTGTTTTCTGTTTCATAAGACAATGATGATCTTGAGGTCTTACGTTGCTTTAAGACCTCTTACTTGCAGCCCATCTGTGTTGTACAGACATCACTTTTCAGAAAGCTGTGATTACAGAGAGAAGAAATAACTTATTCCCACAGTGCACAGTTAAACTACGGAACTCAATACCACCTGAGGCAGGTTCACCAACCTAGATGTCTTCAAAACAGGATTCATAGAGGAGAGGGCTATCGATACTCTCTCTTCTCTCTCTTTATTATTTATACCCCGCCCATCTGGCTGGGTTTCCCCAGCCACTCTCGGTGGCTCCCGACAGAATATTATAAACTCAATAAAACCTCAAACATTAAAAACTTTCCTACACAGGGTTGCCTTCAGATGTCTTCTAAAAGTCAGATAGTTGCTTATTTCCTTGGCATCTGCTGGGAGGACGTTCCACAGGGTGGGTGCCACCACAGAGAAGGCCCTCTGTCTGGTTCCCTGTAACCTCACTTCCCGCAGGGAGGGAACTGCCAGAAGGCCCTCGGCGCTGGACCTCAGTGTCCGGGCTGGATGATGGGGGTGGAGACGCTCCTTCAGGTATACTGGACCGAGGCCATTTAGGGCTTTAAAGGTCAGCACCAACACTTTGAATTGTGCTCGGAAAGGTACTGGGAGCCAATGAAGATCTTTCAGGACCGGTGTTATGTGGTCTCGGCGGCCACTCCCTGTCACCAGTCTAGCTGCCGCATTCTGGATTAATTGCAATTGCCAAGTCACCTTCAAAGGTAGCCCCACGTAGAGCACATTGCAGTAGTCCACGAAAGCGTGATGGCTATGCTCTGCCACTACAGTTGGGGGCAATGACGCTTCTGAATGCCAGAAACCGCAGGAGCAGAGAGTGCTTGTGGGCTTGAACCCTGCTTGTGGGTTTCTCAGAGACATCTGGTTGGCCACTGTTAGAGCAGGGAGCTGGAGTAGATGGGTCACTGGTGTGATCTAGCAGGCCTCTTCTGATGTATTGATGTACCTGAAGCTCCCTGCTCTATAGAACCTTTTTGGTGGACCCGATTTTGCCTTTGTATAATGGGTGGAATGAACCTCAAATGCCTGTCCATGCACTCAGTTGCAAACTTTCACCATAGCTGTAGATAATAGCAATGCAAGCCTTTCAG